TTGAACTGCATTTTGAGGTAGCGATATCTGGGGGATTGATATCAATAGGAGAGAAATTGGGCAAGAAAGTATCGATGGGGACAAGGAGTGACTTTAGGGTTACTCGGTCCACTAAATATATCAATTCACGATATCGTTACTTTCTCCCTCAAACCGGTGAACAGAAATTCGCATAATGCAGCACTCGGTTCTTCCAAACCGGTGTGTGCAAAGTTCCGCAATTTACAGGAGTCGGAACATCGGTTCCACCGATAGTTGTGTAACAGAGGTGACTACTTAATGTGTGTAACAGTGACAGCAGAGACTCCATGTAAACACTACTCAAACGGGAAGTAACAACCGACTAGTTACATATACTATATATCTACGCAGGCACATGTATAGGTGGGCCTATGGGAGCGGACAGGTTACACAATAACATATCCCGTCGCTAAAGTTGCGGACATATAGTCTGGCTGGATCGCGAACCCATATTGACCTCTCACGACTCGTTCCGGGGATTGGAAGTTAGTGTCCAAACCCAGCAGCTGAATTTTGAAGCCAGTTTCATGCCTAGTGTAGTTATACCGTATATACACTCAGGTGGCAAAATATTTCGTACCCTACCTGCATAAAGTGGCCTGAGTGTTACAATTTTGCTGCAAATCTGCATTCTCAGGGAAATTTTTAGCTACCCGGCTGTATGACACCAACAGTCGGCAGATTCGACTCTCATAGGTGCCCCACACGCCTGTTTGATAAAGCAGGGGTCTTGTGTAAACAAATCCAGAAGCAGGTAAGAGCTTCGTAATAGTAAGGCATAGTAATTCTGATTGTGAGTAGCGAGAATACAAGGAGTGCAATATCCACCCCACTAGTAGTACAAAGTTATAGTTTTTGATAAGAAATTTGATTTAGCGCTCTCGTTCATCATAGTGTAACCATACCATCTGTCAATGAACACTAGCAACTGTTCACCGGTTGGGAATAATTGTCAGCGCTAGATAGCTCGCGAATTGGCAAGTTCGAAAACATACATGTCATGCCTATATTGGTATCCTTCGGGTAAATAATTCCACTTCACTGATTAATATCGTAAATATCCTCCTTGGGATTCCTTGCTTGGGAAAACTTAAAGTTGAGGCGAAGGAACCACGTCGTTGTAAGAATCAGAACTTCGGTTTTCCCCAACAAAGAAATCACACATGATGTATTCCTTGTTATTCCCAGATTCTCGGCGCTGCACTGGTACATCGGGGGGATGCAGCAGATAACCAATTATTATACGGGACTGCACATAGGTGACAATCGAGAGGTGATAGTATAGCTCTCCTTTAAAGATCTACAGGATGCAAATTTTAGGGGTGTTAACTAATTGAAGCTCTTCTAGCAAGTGAACTAGAACTGGTGATACCTGTAATTTAATGATTTTGGTACTATTTGGTGCCGATTGTTTTCCGGAAGGTTGGCAGGATAGCTTAAATGGTACCTCTAGTAGATAAATACTACTCCCAAGTTTTCCAAAGTTAGGAGACAAATATGGAAATTTGTGAGTAATATGAGGATTTTTGAATGGCAAAAAAAGGAGGGATATTAGGGAAGTATGTACATGGCCAGAGGAAGCAGAATGATACTCGGTTTGAGTAGGCCTCTTTCTATATCGAAGAACTGATGTGCAACAACTGATGTGTAACACGACCTACATAAAAAGGTAGGTCGGGTGGTCTCCACTTGTCTTGGTGACTGGAGCTTATCACAACTTGTGTAACTAGAGCTTCACATTGCGTACAGCTGGCCTAATCTGTGCAACCTGATTATAGAAATCGTTTCTCGATTGCATATACGTTTTCGTTTATGGCGTTATTAACCATGTGCCAATCCGCGTCATGCGTGGATAAAGGAGCTTCTTAATTGGCGCAGTCATGTCTACGGGTCACTGTAAACTTTGCGATCCCAGCCCCCACGAAGTACAGTACGTCGGTTGCGTGCGTCTCCATAGAGCCAATCAGAGGTCAATCTGGGAGGTCTTAGCTCACATGAACGAATGTACCCATCTGTATATAGGTATTGTGGGAGTAAGATACGGAAGTACCGGTAGTGATGAACGTATGAGAGAAAGCGCAACCAGACTAAGATGGGCGTTGTTCCATAGGAACACAGTTCACAAGTTGCTGCTCTACAACTCTAACCTCAACTCCAAATTCAAGTTCGAAAGCTGGCGATGCTACCTTAAGGTACATCTGGTTGTTCGCTAATAATTCATAATTTTTAAAAGAGTAACCAACTTGACAAACTGTGACAGCTATTACATACAGTCAAGGCACCAATAAACACACAAGAAAGTCAATGCAGTTCATCAAAAGCGTTCTCACGACTGTGTTCAACATAGACATTATGTGCTCTGCAATTTGGGATTCATACACATGTCTATCTAGCTTAGTGTTTCTTAGCCTATGTACTACACAAAGCTGCTTGTCGGTACATGCAGAATTATATTAACAATAACAACCAACGTTTCGGTAGTCAGTGGATGCAAACGCTTTCAGCTCGGCTGAATCATGGAAAACTAGCGGCCAGCCGAAGAACAGTAACATTTATGCACGATCTGTCGAGCCCCGCGACATGTAAACCATTGATGTAAAATGCAAACGCCTTACCCGGTCAGGAAGACTCGTCCAGAATCTTCCCCCCACAAAGGCAGGTACCCCAGAGCTTCTAACAGCGTCCATGTCAATGCTGCAAGGAGGCCAGAGAAACAATTTTATCCAAAACCTTGAACTACTACATGCAAACCCATTGATCTAACTACCCATTTGTCCATAATGAGTCCACTCAATATCTAATCATAGGCTTTCCGCTCCAACGATATCGCATACAGCTTCTAGAATCGGATGTGCCATAGGGGAGGATAACCATGGCCCTCCCCAACAAGCAGCAGATACCGGAGTAACAGTCGACTGAAAGAATAAGACCTTAGAGTAGAGATGTAGAGCAACTTTTGCCGTCATCTGGGAAATTCAGTATCACAATATCTCGCCAAGAAGACCATACCCAAATATTAGAATCCCAAAGGCAGAGGCCGAACGACCCTGGTTCGTATATAAACTCTGGCATGCCCTTGCGAGTTCACAGGTTCGCGAGTTTTTCTTTTCTTTGGGGGGATCATAACTCGTATTGAGGCAGCGCATCCCCCACGTCGAGCCTGAACGATTATCACGTACATGACCAGATACCCCCTGGAAATGAAGATACGCAAGAACACCGAAAAGAAGAACGTGACGGAAGAAAAAGAAATGCCCTCGCCCTCACTCTCTCATTGCCTCCACAAGCAGCTCGCTCATCCCAAATCTGCTCCCACAGTCGTCCCCTGCTCTCTGCCAACCCCGGACACTCCAGGAGGCGCGCCGCGTTCGGTGCTGCCCCCTCGTCATACAGCCTGCACATGGAATCCTCCACGCTTCCCACCCTGTACCGCCACCACCTCTGCGGTCCCCGGTCTGTCACTATATGTGTCAGACCACTGAGTGCATCCCAGCTCCAACCCGTCCGTTTTGACGGCCACCCAATGTGGATGGCTTGTCTGATGCCAGCCGGTGTGTTGCGACGTCAGGCCTGAGCATACTTCTGCCTACCCACGCGGTCTCCTTCGCCTCCCCACCCGCCCGCTCTCGAGCACCCCACTATGTCCCTTCACCCACATAACCGATCGCCCCTCTCCCGTCATCAATTCCTTTTCCCATGCCATCACTATGCCTAGGAATTCCGCGCCCATCCCTGTCGCCAGAAAGCCTAGGTATTCGCCCTGCTCTATCCCCTCCCCAACCATTGCTGCCGCTGCCGCCCCCTCTTGCTGGGAGCCATCTGACCATGCCTGAACTCGGCCCTCGGAGCAGGGAGCGGTCCAGTGTTGGACAATCTCTCCAGGCTTAACCTGGGTGGATTCGCTGCCTCGCCATAAGCGAGAAGCCTCAATGCGAGTACTGATTTACCCCTCCAAAAAAAACTCGACCCTCCTATCGTCTCCATCGTCGGCCGCCTCTTTGTTCACCTTCGATGTACCGCCTCAGCACTGTGTCCTCCTGCAGCGCCTCTTTCAGGATTATCTCCGCTGTGTCCCTGAGCTGTACAGCTGTGGGAGAGCCCTGCCGTATACCGAAGCCGGCCACTTAAGGGCGCTTTGCTTTCAGCCAGTGCCGGTATGCCTGTTATCTCCGAGATCTTCCATCGTGAGTTGCCTTTCCATCCGCTGCAGAGGTTATCCAGCTTGCCCACTCCCCTGCTAATCTCTCCTGTTCTTCCCGGGGTTCGTGCCATAGCTCCGCGCCATATGTCAAAATCGGCAATAGTTGTCCGCATACAATCTGTTTCATTGCCTTCGGTGGGAATCCTATTAGTCGATACAATAGCCCCCATGCTCTTGCCTTGGAATATCTGTTCTTCCGCCTTATCATCGCTGACATATAAACTGTGAAGAGGCTTGGGCTTAGTGGCGAGCCCTGTGGTGTGCCCTGTGTCATCCTTGCTTCACCTATGTAAGTCTTTGCCTTCGACCTCCATCGTGAACAATCTTCGCCAAAAAAAGCATTGGAGAGTATATCCACAGGCAATTTCGCTGTAGGCTAACTTCTATGAATGGCGATTGTAAAATTATTTCCTGTCAAATCCGCCCCTCAGTGTAAGTAGGCAATTGATCTCGTACTGCAAAACAAACAGGTCGACCAACTCTGGGTCAAAGAATTTATTGTAGGCAAGAATATTTGTCTGGTGACTTTGTCTCAGGGCTTTGTATATTTTCGGCAAACATGTCCTCGATAAGGCGTTCTTACTTTCGAAATTACAATACCTAGAAATGTGCCAGTGCGGCGATTAGTATTCTAAGCAAAAGCTATACGACTAAAGGTATTATCCTAGGTATTTACATATTTAGTGATCCGAATTTTTGGGCAATATATACCCTGACTAATTTCTCAATCCCCTTTCAAAAAGACTGTGCGATTCTGGGGAATGAAACCAAAAAATTCTTCCGTCGCCGGGAATTGAACCCAGGTTCTGAGAGTTCTCATCCTTGAGGAGATGAGAGTCTCAAATGCTAGCCACTACACCACGACGGATTGGCTGTCATGTGATTGACCTAGCCTATATACAACATCATATTCACGATATTGTGCATGCACAATTCAAATATACATGCCTCCTGTACATACATGTAGTCTTCTCTAGAAAAGATCTAGGGGAAATGCCGAGAATTGAACATAAGCATGCAAGTACATTGAACTCTTGCGGATATAATTGTATGGTAGGAAACCTGCTGGTGTAGATTGTGGTACATTTCTTCCCCATTAATTGTCGATTCGCCGAATCTCCTACTGGTAAGCGCAGTGGCATACTAGTGAATACAGCAGGGAGAATTGTAAGGTATACACTTTATGTCTATGATTTTGGGGGGGGGTCATTGGGAGCGACTGACCCCCTTTACGTCCATTACTAATTAAATAAACCCCCACTGGCAATTTCCCCCATAAGTTGCTTAGCTCCAATGTTATTCAGGAGAATACCCTTCCTAAACTTCTCTCTCTGTATATCATATTGGAGATTTCGCATATTTCTCAGTTATTAAGTTTATCGTTAATTAAATGGAGTACACTATACTAATGCAACGAAAAAAAAAAGAGGTTTTGCAAGCTTTCAATGGTAAGTCTAACATTCAAGTCAGCAATACAGCAGCAGCGGTGGCGGCGGGAACCGCTAGTGATTCCTATCTAGCTCATTATTATCAGATACCAGACTCATTCTTCTCCTTTGTTATTTGAGCCCCAAACTGTGCACCACTGTGAGCATAAATTACTGCATTTAGTTCGGTAATATTCCCGGACATTCTCCATTGCGCAATACAGAGTCCCATCATGAAAGTTTTGGGGCAGGTAGAGAGGCAGGACATATAATGCAGTGTACCTTGCCTTAGTTTAGCGATATTTACTGTTACACACGTCAGTGAGAACAAGGTTACTCTCCTAGTGCCTGAGCTCTAGCTTGACATCATACCTGCCCAGCGAGAAGCTGGGAAAACTGGTGAATAAGAGCCCTTGTCAATATCTTTTGATCTTCCCTTTAACGGTAGCAGCGTTACTACTTGTGGCAAGATAGGCAGACTTGCTTAAGCTTGGCTACACGATTGTGACTTACTTTACGAGAAAACCTTTGAAATACCCCTCGGGTAACACGGACTACTGTGAGACACCCCTCGCTTAGTGGAACATGTCTAAGATACCACACTATACCTATCTCCTATGTAGTCGTGAATTAGTTCTGAGCCTATGCAAGAAGCGTGTTATGTACAGTGCTCTGCTTCTCACTCTGTTACCCGCTCCTACATATGTAGTTCTACACGCTCCCTTCGCTACACGTTGCCGTGTAGGCGCTACCTAGGGACTGATCGTACGCGTTCCTAAGCTTTAAATCGCGCTCTAATGTCGCTCTGGTCGTGATTGTTCCTACTTTCCCTATATCATATCTCCAAGCACCATATCCAGCATACTTCCCTTCTCTACGCGATATTCCAGCATACTACAGCATACCCAGCATACCAGCATACCGAGCCCACCCAGCATACGCAGTATCCCCGGCATACCCATACCCGACGCATTCCTCCCTCTACGCGATGCGATATCTCCCAGTAATCCTATAGTAGACTTGAGCTTCCGAAAGCTAAATTTATGTATCGCTGTGCGTGCTCCTGTACTTTATATGTATTATGCGCTCATGCCGGTACCTAGACCTCACTTCCGTACCTAGACCTGTTTCTAGGTTTAATATACTGTACATATCTAGGCTCTAGTCATACAAGTATTACTACTCTATGCGCTCCGATATGGAGGTATGCTATCAATTATGTGCTCCTATTTGGCTTCTGTAGCCACAGTCATGCTTCAGGGTAAATGAGTCGGGCCAATGCTTATTGGTCTTGGCATGATCAAGCATGCGCAGCCGATAAGTAGGGTACATTACCTATTGTAGTAGAATATATATACAATCAAATTATATGAATACATATATCTATGTAGTTTATAAACCAAACAAGAGGTGATCCTTATAAGTACTCTGCTATTAAGCTAATAAATAATGTATATTCTCTCTGTCTTTGTATGGAAAATAAAGATGTATACATAAGCATATCTGTAGTACAGAGTATTATGACACGCTCTGATGTTCCACAGATCAATGTCATGTATAGCTTTATTCTGACCTACAAATAGTCCCATACTATCCCCTACATTCATTCAGACATATAATAATTAACTATAGCAGACGCCATGGGTGGAATTTCAGGAAATGAGAAATACAGTAGAGGCATAACCGGATTACCCTGAAGCGTGACTACGGCTATGGAAGTATATCGAGTTACAGGAGCACGTAATTGATAACATACCTTCATATCTTCATATCGGAGCGCATAGAGTAGTAATACTTGTAGGACTAGAGCTTAGATATGTATAGTATATTAAACCTAGAGAATAGGTCTAGGTACGGAAGTGCGTGAGGGGTGGTAGACACTGGCATGAGCGCATTATTTAAAGCACAGGAGCATGTACAGCAATAGATGCATTTAGCTTTCCGGAAGCTCAAGTCTACTATAGGATTACTGGGAGATATCGCATCGCGTAGAGAAAGGAATGCATCGGGTATGCCGGGTATGCTGGGTATGCTGTAGTATGCTGGAATATCGCGTAGAGAAGGGAAGTATGCTGGATATGGTGCTTGGAGATATGATATAGGGAAAGTAGGAACAATCACGACCAGAGCGACATTAGAGCGCGCAATTTAAAGCTTAGGAACGCGTACGATCAGTCCCTAGGTAGCGCCTACACGGCAACGTGTAGCGAAGGGAGCGTGTAGAACTACATATGTAGGAGCGGGTAACAGAGTGAGAAGCAGAGCACTGTACATAACACGCTTCTTGCATAGGCTCAGAACTAATTCACGACTACATAGGAGATAGGTATAGTGTGGTATCTTAGACATGTTCCACTAAGCGAGGGGTGTCTCACAGTAGTCCGTGTTACCCGAGGGGTATTTCAAAGGTTTTCTCCTTACTTTACCGCTGTGTCACTCACTGATTCTACTGTTGTGATTCACTTTTTGACAAGGGCTCTTATTCACCAGTTTTCCCGGTAGAGTACTCGGTTATAAAGGAAAGTCTGGCGAAACGTGGAAGGCCGCATATGCGTGGTGCGAGGAGTAACCAATCAGGGCTCAATATCTGAACCTATCAAAATACCGTATCTACTCGAGTTATTCGCTAGTGCCTTGGCAGCGATCACACAGTATACTATGGTTGTTGAAGTTAGCGATGCAGATCAAAGATGTCTGTGCTACAGTGCGACCGGCGGATTATGACAACTCATGTTGTTGGGCCTGCATGGATTCAATTCGAAAAGACAAAAAAGCCATGATTCAAAAATCATTCCGTGATGTTGGGGTTACTTTACCACCCGATGGAAGTCAAGATGATGAACTTCATATTAAAGGTTTTGATCCACAAGACCTCAAAATCCCCTCTACCGATGTAGACATTCCCCTCATGTATCAGCCTGAACAAGGCTTCCGCACCCTTCCTATTGAGCCTTGATCCTATTATTTTCACTGACTGAGCAATACCTGTCATTTTCGCCGTCATGTATTGATCGCCTGCACTAGACTTCCTCTGCTTAGCTGTGTGATCGCTGCCAAGGCACTAGCGAATAACTCGAGTATGTAGATACGGTATGACCAACTGGCCGATACCTGTAATAAGTCAGGACTTGAATATTCTGCTCACGCTTTCAGTAGAATGTAGGGTTCCGAGACCAACGTCCGACTATGCTGATACCTAACGAATACGAACCCAATGGAAGGTGATCATGTCATTTGGGAAAAGCATGCTGTGAACGCAATTGTGTTGACTCCTACCATGGCCTCTCAATTACTAGACTTTAATTTAATAGAGCGTCTTTAGTCCAAGTTAGAGTATGAGCTGAGAGAGAGTTGTATAGAAGAATGCGGAATCAGGCGTTCTCAGAAATGCGCTTGTGAGAATATCTTGCTTCATTGTATGTATGCTCAAGGCGCTGCTACTATACCTAACTGCGTAAAGCTCGATTATAGGGTAATGCACGCTAGCAACCAGATATGGCGAACCCATTGCGCATAGCGAATTCTTTACAGCATACTACTCTATCATAGAATGACGGCGTCTATAGGGTAACTGGAGTCGCTGAATTCGATTATTACGTCTACTGCTCTCTCCGGGTTGCCCTAAACTTGCTAGAGCACTCACAACCTCAACAGCGCCCTCAACCCCCCCCTGACTGTAAACCTCCTACCTCCCGGCTGCCCTCCCCCGTATATGGCTGTTTACATCATGAATAGACTCCCTATGGATACCTTATATATTTATCATAAGTATAGGCCATGGGACAATTTCATGAATGTGCTGCATGCATTGCAAAAGGTCAAAAATAATACCACATGCACAAACCTCCTCCTGGATGTACTATTTACTGTAGTGAAAGAGCCCCAACTGAGCTATTCTCATATAACAACTTCTATGAGGCCTCTAAAGTGCCCCCCCGTATGGTTGCTGAGCCCTTAGGAGCTCCAGCACCCTCAACCGCACTCGGGTCTATAGCTAACCTCCTCAACAGGACCCCCTCCCCCTACAGGCGCAGCATATAAAATTCAATGGCTTTTACGGCCCATATAGGCTTCATTGAGAGCACAAGGTGCCTTCGACAGGTTCCACAATAGCGGTTTGCTAGAGCTTGTAAATATCCCTACTTCGACCCCTCTCAAACCCCCCTCTATTGAGTGGTTTAGAAGCTATTTAAGCCAGGTGGAGAGCATGATAAAACTAACTCTGAGCATAGTAAAGAGACTTTTAAGTATACTATAGCTAATTGTTACCGTAATTTGGTTACTTGAGCTTAGCCAGCAGAGGAGTAGGAAAGCTTGGGCTTAGCTAATATAGAATAGGAAAGCTTTAATTCAGTTTCTGACCGGAAGCAAGGAGGGTCAGAGTAGGGGTACCTTGTGAGTGCTTGTAGACCTTGATGATGGAATGTCAAAAAGGCACCTT